ACAGGCTTCCTTCTTTTCCCTCTGTAATTTAGGTTACATTTACATTATTTAGCAGACGCTCTTATCCAGAGCGACTTACAAATTGGTTCATTCAACTTATGATAGCCAGTGGGACAACTACTTTTTTTCTTCTTCTTTTTTTATGGGGGGGGGGGGGGGGGGGGGTAGAAGGATTACTTTATACTATTCCAGGTATTCCTTAAAGAGGTAGGGTTTCAAGTGTCTCCGCTGTCCTGGCGTCGTGGGGGAGCTTGTTCCACCATTGGGGTGCCAGAGCAGCAAATAGCTTTGACTGGGCTGAGCGGGAACTGTGCTTCCGTAGAGGTAGGGGAGCTAGCAGGCCAGAGGTGGATGAACGTAGTGCCCTCGTTTGGGTGTAGGGTCTGATCAGAGCCTGAAGGTAAGGAGGTGTCGTTCCCCTCACAGCTCCGTAGGTAAGCACCATGGTCTTGTAGTAGATGCAAGCCTCAACTGGAAGCCAGTGGAGTGTGCGGAGGAGCGAGGTGACATGAGAGAACTTGGGAAGGTCGAACACCAGATGGGCTGCGGCATTCTGGATAAGTTGTAGGGGTTTAATGGCACAGGCAGGGAGCCCAGCCAACAGCGAGTTGCAGTAATCCAGCCTGGATTAGGACCTGTGCCGCTTTCTGTGTAAGGTAGGGTCGTACTCTGCGAATGTTGTAGAGCATGAACCTGCAGGATCGGGTCACCGCTTTGATGTTAGCGGAGAACGACAGGGTGTTGTCCAGGGTCACGCCAAGGTTCTTTGCACTCTGGGAGGAGGACACAATGGAGTTGTCAACCGTGATGGCGGGATCATGGAGCGGGCAGTCCTTCCCCGGGAGGAAGAGCAGCTCCGTCTTGCCAAGGTTCAGCTTGAGGGGGTGATCCGACATCCACACTGATATGTCTGCCAGACATGCAGAGATGCGATTCGCCACCTGGTTATCAGAAGGGGGAAAGGAGAAAATGAATTGTGTGTTGTCTGCGTAGCAATGATAGGAGAGACCATGTGAGGATATGACAGAGCCAAGTGACTTGGTGTATAGAGAGAATAGGAGAGGGCCTAGAACTGAGCCCTGGGGGACACCAGTGGTGAGAGCACGTGGTGCGGAGACAGATTCTCGCCACGCCACCTGGTAGGAGTGACCTGTCAGGTAGGACACAATCCAAGAGTGAGCAGCGCCGGAGATGTCCAACTCGGAGAGGGTGGAGAGGAGGATCTGATGGTTCACAGTATAAAAGGCAGAGGAGAGAGAGTTAGCTTTAGCAGTGCGGAGAGCCTCCGTGACACAGAGAAGAGCAGTCTCAGTTGAATGACCAGTCTTGAAACCTGACTGGTTTGGATCAAGAAGGTCATTCTGAGAGAGATAGCAGGAGAGTTGGCTAGAGACGGCACACTCAAGAGTTTTGGAGAGAAAAGAAAGAAGGGATACTGGTCTGTAGTTGTTGACATCGGAGGGATCGAGTGTAGGTTTTTTGAGGAGGGGTGCAACTCTCGCTCTCTTGAAGACGGAAGGGACATAGCCAGCGGTCAAGGATGAGTTGATGAGCGTGGTGAGGTGAGGGAGGGTCTCCGGAAATGGTCTGGAGAAGAGAGGAGGGGATAGGGTCAAGCGGGCAGGATGTTGGGTGGCCGGCCATCACAAGATTTCATCTGGAGAGAGAGGGGAGAAAGAAGTCAAAGCATAGGGTAGGGCAGTGTGAGCAGGACCAGCTGTGTCATTTGACTTGATAAATGAGGATCAGATGTCGTCAACCTTCTTTTCAAAATGGTTGACGAAGTCATCCACAGAGAGGGAGGAGGAAGGGGGAGGAGGAGGAGGATTCAGCAGGGAGGAGAAGGTGGCAAAGAGCTTCCTAGGGTTAAAGGCAGAGGCTTGAAATTTAGAGTGGTAGAAAGTGGCTTTAGCAGCAGAAACAGAGGAAGAGAATGTAAAGAGGAGGGAGTGAAAAGATGACAGATCCGCAGGGAGTCTAGTTTTCCTCCATTTCCGCTCGGCTGCCCGGAGCCCTGTTCTGTGAGCTCGCAATGAGTCATCAAGCCACGGAGCAGGAGGGGAGGACCGAGCCGGCCGGGAGGATAGGGGACATAGAGAGTCAAAAGATGCAGAAAGGGAGGAGGGTTGAGAAGGCAGAATCAGGAGATCGGAGGGAGAAGGATTTAGCAGAGGGAAGAGATGATAGGATGGAAGAGGAGAGAGTAGCGGGAGAGAGAGAGCGAAGGTTGCGACGGCACATTACCATCTGAGTAGGGGCAGAGTGAGTAGTGTTGGAGGAGAGCGAGAGAGAAAAGGATACAAAGTAGTGGTCGGGAGACTTGGAGGGGAGTTGCAGTGGGATTAGTAGAAGAACAGAATCTAGTAAAGATGAGGTCAAGCGTATTGCCTGCCTTGTGAGTAGGGGGGGGGGGGGGGGGGGGGGGGGGGGGGGGGGGATGGTGAGAGGGTGAGGTCAAAAGAGGAGAGGAGTGGAATAAAGGAGGCAGAGAGAAATTAGTCAAAGGCAGACGTAGGGAGGTTAAAGTCACCCAGAACTGTGAGGGGTGAGCCATCCTCAGGAAAGGAACTTATCAAGGCGTCAAGCTCATTGATGAACTCTCCAAGGGAACCTGGAGGGCGATAAATGACAAGGCTGTTAAGCTTGAATGGGCTAGTGGTTAGACGAGGAAAGATCAGTAGGAGTAGCAATGTTTTTTGTGGTAATCCATGTTTCCGTCAGCGCCAAGAAGTCGAGGGACTGGAGGGTAGCATATGCTGAGATTAACTCTGCCTTGTTGGCCGCAGAACGGGTTAGTATTGTATTGTAGAGGTTAGTATTGTAGAGTAACTACAATGTTGTTGATCCATCCTCAGTTTTGTCCTATTGCAGCCATTAAACTCTGTAACGGATTTAAGTCACCATTGGCCTCATGGTGAAATCCCTGAGCAGTTTCCTTCCTCTCCGGCAAACTGAGTTAGGATGGACACCTGTAACTTTGTAGTGACTGGGTGTATCAATACACCATCCAAAGTGTAATTAATAACTTCACCATGCTCAAAGGAATATTCAATGTCTGCTTTTCATTTTGTTTTTACCCCATCTACCAATAGGTGCCATTCTTTGCGAGGCATTGGAAAACCTCTGTGGTATATATGCTTGCCATTACAAAGGGATTGAATACTTATTGATTCATGACATTTCAGCTATTCATTTCTTACAAACATAATTCCACTTTGACATTATGGGGTATTGTGTGTAGGCCAGTGTGACAATATCTCAATTTAATCAATTATAAATTCAGGCTGTTACACAACAAAATGTGGAAAGGTCAAGGAGTGTGAATACTGTATGGAACTGTATGTCAGTAATGAAATACTGAAAAACTCTAAATAAATAAAGCCCCCATAAAAGCTATATTACATTCCCTTAAATATCACAAAATATGTTTAGAGTAGAGTTTAATATATCCTATTGAAAAAAAATAAGAACGTAATTAAGTTAGTTCAGTAACCCCTTTTGAAGATCTTTAGATTTTTCATTGAAAAAGTATTCTACATTATCTAACATCTGTGTTTGAGAGTCTACATGTAGACTAAACAAAAATATAAACGCAACATGTAAAGTGTTGGTCCCATGTTTCATGAGCTGAAATAAAAGATCCCAGACATTTTTCATACACACAAAAAGCTTATTTCTCTCAAATTGTGTGCACAAATTTGTTTACATCCCTGTTAGTGAGCATTTCTCCTTAACCTTGATAATCTATCCACCTGACACGTGTGGCATATCAAAAAGCTGATTATCAGCATGATCATTACACAGATGCACCTTGTGCTGGGGACAATAAAAGGCCACTCTAAAATGCGCAGTTTTGTCACACAACACAATGCCACAGATGCCTCAAGTTTTGAGGGAGTGTGGAATTGGCATGCTGACTGCAGGAAAGTCCACCAGAGCTATTGCCAGATAATTGAATGTTAATTTCTCTACCATAAGACACCTCCAACTCTGTTTTAGAGAATCTGGCAGTACGTCCAACCGCCCTACCAACCGTAGACCATGTGTAACCACGCCAGCCCAGGACCTCCACATCCGGCTTCTTCACCTGCGGGATCGTCTGACACTAGCCATCCGGACAGCTCATGAAACTGTGGGTTTGCACAACCAAAGAATGTCTGTCAGAAACCGTCTCAGGGAAGCTCTGATTCAAAGGGGTTGGGTTAAATGCGGAAGACACATTTCAGTTCAATGCATTCAGTTGTACAACTGACTAGGTATCCCCCTTTCCCTTCATCAGCGTGCTCGTCGTCCTCACCAAGGTCTTGACCTGATTGCAGTTTGGTGTCGTAACCGACTTCAGTGGGCAAATGTTAACTTTCGATGGCCACTGGGAAAGTGTGCTCTTCACGGATGAATCCCGGTTTCAACTGTACCGAGCAGATGGCAGCGTGTATGGCATCGTTTGCTGATGTCAACGTTGTGAACAGAGTGAAATCCATGGTGGCGGTGGGGTTATGGTATGGGCAGACATAAGCTACAGACAACGAACACAATTGCACTTTATCAATGGCAATTTGAATGCACAGAGATACCATGACGAGATCCTGAGGCCCATTGTCGTGCCATTCATCCGCCGCCATCACCTCATGTTTCAGCATGATAATGCATGTCGCAAGGATCTGTACACAATTCCTGGAAGCTTAAAATGTCCCAGTTCTTCCATGGCCTGCATACTCACAAGACGTCACCCATCGAGCATGTTTGGGATGCTCTGGACCGACGTGTACGGCAGCGTGTTCCAGTTCCCGCCAAAATCCAGCAACTTCGCACAGCCATTGAAGAGTGGGACAACATTCCACAGGCCACAACAGCCTGATCAACTCTATGCAAAGGAGATGTGTCGCGCTGCATGAGGTAAATGGGTCACACCAGATACTGACTGGTTTTCTGATCCACGTCCCTACCTTTTTTTTAAGGTACTGTATCTGTGACCAACAGATGCATATCTGTATTCCCAGTCATGTGAAATCCATAGATTAGGGCCTAATTCATTTATTTCAATTGTAACATCTTTGAAATTGTTGCATGTTGCGTTTATATTTCTGTTCAGTGTACATGTCAAACCACACTGGAATGTCCAATTCTTTTATAACAATTTGTTCATCCTTGTTTCCTATTCCATCCTTTCTCCATGTCTTGAAATGCTTTACATTCAAATAGCCAGCAAAGTTCTCAGTGTTCAGAAGGCACCCATTGGCTACTGTTTCTCCATGTGAGCCAGGAAGTGGTCAGGTCCAGGGACATTCCAGATTCAGGCACTGGGTTACTGGAACTGCTGCAGCAGATGGGTTTAGGACACATCATTATGTAGTCAAGGATGTGTATATCATTGATTGTCAAGAGTTAATGCTTGTGTATGACCACAATGGTATTGTGTGATTGAAAGTTCAATGTTCCTGGGAGGGAAGGCACTGAGATGCATAGGCGACCACTCAGTAGATTTGCACACTTTGCACAGATAGCCAGCTGTGGATGGTAGGAGTTGACAGTCTCCATTGTCCAACAGTTAGTGGTTTAGCATTAAGGCTTGATTTTCCACAGCTGTAGAAGAGACAACAAGGAGGGCACATTTAAAAACACAGCACATATCCTCACTTTAATACAAATGTACTTGGAGGAAAACAACGGACAGAGGTGAAGAATCACTGTTTGGAAAACATCTCAGTGTTCAGCTACAGCTCTGTGGTATTAGAAGTGTCTCCACTCACTCTGATGTTGAAGCCGAGCAGGTCGCTGACCACAGCGGAGACTGCAGACAGGATGACCACACGTGTGATGTTGTAGATGAGAGGGTTCACAGTCAGACCCAGCAGTCGGAAGGGGGTGTCAAGCTCCTGTGAAAGGGTTGGTATGAGAAGTCAAAGATGCTTTCACTGCACGTTATGCTGAATAAACAATTACCAGCCCAGAAGATGTGACTAAGTCAAAATATTCATAATGCTGCTAAAGTTTAAAGACATGCTTACTTTCATTAATTTTGTTGCAAGCTTCAGAACATTGTTCACTATGTTCAACATTTCTTTCTTGTTGGGCTTCTTTTCCATCTTAAGATACAAGTTGATCTGAAAGAATGGAGGAGATGCATTAATGAAAGTATTAAAGTGGTCTGTCTGCGTGTGCACGTGCGTGTATGTGTTGTAGGGGGCCTCACCTGTTCCGTCAGCAGCACTGACACGTTGCTGTATTTACAGTTGGTCTCAGATCCCAGGGTGGCCAGGCGGAGCAGGAAGAGGATCAGAGAGGAACCCCACACCATGAGCTCCCAGTTGGTCTCCGAGTCCAGGAAGGTGTGGTGACTGTTCAGGAGCTGGGGGTTTGAGATAGAAAATGAGTACTCATAATCTTTAATCTATTGAGTTTCTACAGGTTGGAGCTTAACCAATGCACATTCTGTTTTACAACAGGCATTCATAACAAGTGGAAGGTAAATCATGGTGTTTCCTGGAATCCTGTGTATTTATCAGAGATACTCTTTTTATAGATACAGTACCAGTCAAAGGTTTGGACACACCTACTCATTCAAGGGTTTTTCTAAATGTTTATACAATGTTTTACATTGTAGAATAGTAGTGAAGACATCAAAACTATGAAATAACACACATGGACTCATGTAGTAACCAAAAAAGTGTTAAACAAATCAAAATATATTTTATATTTGAGTTTCTTCAAAGTAGCCACCCTTTGCCTTGACAGCTTTGCACAACTCTTGGCATTCTCTCAACCAGCTTCATGAGGTAGTCACCTGGAATGCATTTCAATTAACAGGTGTGACTTCTTAAAAGTTAATTTGTGGAATTTCTTTCCTTCTTAATGCGTTTGAGCCAATCAGTTGTGTTGTGACAAGGTAGGGGTGGTATACAGAAGATAGCCCAATTTGGTAAAAGACCAAGTCCATATTATGGCAAGAACAGTTCAAATAAGCAAAGAGAAATGACAGTCCATCATTACTTTAAGACATGAAGGTCAATCTGGAACATTTCAAGAACTTTTAAAGTTTATTCAAGTGCAGTCGCAAAAACCATCAAGCGCTATGATGAAACTGGCTCTCATGAGGACCGGCACAGGAAAGGAAGACCCATAGTTACCTCTACTGCAGAGGATAAGTTCATTAGAGTTACCAGCCCACCCCCCTTTTTTGTACCTTTATTTAACTAGGCAAGTCAGTTAAGAACAAATTCTTATTTACAATGACGGCCTACACCGGCCAAACCCGGACGACGCTGGGCCAATTGTGCGTCGCCCTATGGGACTCCCAATCACGGCCGATTGTGATACAGCCTGGAATCGAACCAGGGGGTCTGTAGTGACGCCTCAAGCACAGAGATGCAGTGCCTTAGAACGCTGCGCCACTCGGGAGCCAAAATGCTTTTCAGAGTTCAAGTAGACACATCTCAACATCAACTGTTCAGAGGAGACTGCGTGAATCAGGCCTTCATAGTCGAATTGCTGCAAAGAAACCACTACTAAAGGACACCAATAAGAAGAAGAGACTTGCTTGGGCCAAGAAACACGAGCAATGGACATTAGACCAGTGGAAATCTGTCCTTTGGTCTGGAGTCCAAATTTGAGATTTTTGGTTCCAACCGCGTGTCTTTGTGAGACGCAGTGTAGGTGAACGGCTGATCTCCGCATGTGTATTTCCTACCGTGAAGCATGGAGGAGGTGGTGTGATGGTGCTTTGCTGGTGACACTGTCTGTGATTTATTTAGAATTCAAGGCACACTTAACCAGCATGGCTACCACAGCATTCTGCAGCGATACGCCATCCCATCTGGTTTAGGCTTAGTGGGACTATCATTTGTTTTCAACAGGACAATGACCCAACACACCTTCAGGCTGTGTAAGGGCTATTTTACCAAGAAGGAGAGTGATGGAGCGCTGCATCAGATGACCTGGCCTCCACAATCCCCTGACCTCAACCCAATTGAGAATGGTTTGGGATGAGTTGGACCTCAAAGTGAAGGAAAAGCAGCCAACAAGTTCTCAGCACATGTGGGAACTCCTTCAAGACTGTTGGAAAAGCATTCCAGGTGAAGCTGGTTGAGAGAATGCCAAGAGTGTGCAAAGCTGTCATCAAGGCAAAGGGTGGCTATTTGAAGAATCTCAAATATTAAATATATTTTGATTTGTTTAACACTTTTTTGGTTACTACATGATTCCATATGTGTTATTTCATAGTTTTGATGTCTTCACTATTATTCTACAAGGTAGGAAATAGTAAAAAAAAAGAAAAACCCTTGAATGAATAGGTGTGTCCAAACTTTTGACTGGTACTGTATGTCTGACCTGGGTACACAAGATGAAGGCGATGGAGAGGGCCAGGAGGAAGATGGAGGAGACGATGACATCAACGGAACGCTGGGGCCCACGTCTCTGTGATGAACAGGAAATAATATTAGGGGACATTTCAATGAGGGTAAGACATTAATCACCCCCTAGTGGTCAAAGCCATACACTGATGTATATCTAAAAAAGGCACAAGAGTAGTGAGAGTAAGTCTGACCTTGAGGAAGGAGCGGAGCGACAGCCACATCTTTATGTTCTGCACTTTCTTCAGCCTGAAATGGGGGATTTCCCACTTCTTAGCCTTTCGTGCTGATGTGATGTGGTTGAAGAGTTTGGCGAAAACAAGCCGCTGTTGAAAGAGAACCAATGAAAAACATGTCAGCCACACCATTTCCAGCATGTTTGTTTTGTAGTGGTATGTCTACTACAGTACAGTGGGACCAACATGCTGACCTGTTTGTAGGTCCTCTCTGCCACACACATCATGAAGAAGAAGAGTCCTGTGAGGCAGAGCCTCTCCACGGTGGTGATGAAGAAGAAGGCGTAGGTCTGGGTGTTGGGCGGCCCCATCGCCATGACAGCCAACTCTGCCAGGGACAGGGAGCTCAGGTGCTTCATGTCCAGCCGCTGTGCCAGGCGGAAGCCAAAGGGAAGCAGTGCCAGTGTTGCAGTGACCAACCCCCCCAGGGCTAGGTAACCCATGCCCTGTTCCACCACCTTCACCTACACAGGAGAAATGACCTCTGTTAGGACAGCGGCATGGGGCACAGAGTACAAAGCCTTAATAGTGTTTGTATAAACAGAATCAGACAGAACCCCTTTCCAGCCCTAAAGCATTACAGACCAGCATTCACTATGTATTCAATGTGTGTTAATTGTACCAAAAAGGTATCAGTGTGTAATGAAGTGGTCATAGGAGGTTTACCCGTGTGAGGATGATCCCACTGATCTCCAGTACTGACATGTCTGCTTTCTTGCACTCCCCCTGCTCCCAGATGATGACACTGACCCGGTCTCTGGATGGGTGGCACGCCTGCAGCCACGATAGATGGCCCTGTCGGGAGAGAAAGCTGATGAGCTGGTATATACTAACCCTTTTTGGGGTTACATATTAGGTGACAGAGTATACGTGTGGTGTAGCACAAAGTAAATGTGATTAAAGTGAGTCCTTGTGGACGGACCCACCTGCTGCAGGTTCTCATCATCACTGATGAGAGTGGTGGACGGGGGGAGGGTCAGGCCGTACCGCCCCTCCCCCTCACTGTCACTGCTGCCAGTGGAGGCGGAGTCAGGACCCTGAATAAGCTCCTCCCACATTGTGTCATCTGTGTCAGAAGCCGGGCGCGAGCCTTCGGGCCTAAGGAGCACCACTTCATGAGGTTTCACCTTAGTGTCCTTGGCACCTCCACTACTTTCCTCCTGTGCAAATAATAGGTCAAACTAAATGTCCCCCTTTCACTCTGGCTACAATACACAGAGCAGGACTCACTGTCTCTTAAGGGTTACCTGAGGTGGTGAGGGGTTTGAGGAGTGAAGGCGTCTCTTCGTGAGGACAGAGGCAGGTGTAGTTCCAGCTACACCAGTGGGAAGTTTTGCTTCCTCATCCTCCTCCACCTCACTGGAAAGCTCGTCAGAGGCCCCAAAGCCTGACTTTCTCTGAATGGTCTGGAACAGCATCACAATCAGCAATAGAATCCACAGGATAAACAGCAACACCACCTTGGTAGCCAAAATGTCAATCACAGATAAAGCCCCATCTTAAAAGTCCCGCCCAGCCTTACAACCCGCTAGACAAATTCACTCAGGCAATACAAAGGAAACAAATACATTTTGAGATTCACACACACACATGAAAATGGGAACTTCTGGAACCCTGGTAGCCCTTTACACTCGTACCCGCATACGGGTTAAAAATGGCAGATTTGTGCACTGATAAGCGCCTAAATTGGAATGCAGTAACTTCCTATAAATTCTCAGAGTTCTGGCTCTGTGCTTCACAGTGCTTTATGGGTTTTGACTGACAGCCGTTCTGAACTTGAGCACCTCGCGCGACAAGAAGTTTCCCTCATCCCTCCCGCTAATTGGGCAACTTCTGCTAATGTTTTGTTGTCTGAGTGAGGGACATGCTGTAAATTAAGAGGACTCGATGTATTTTGAAAGATGAGATGTTGAGGATTATAATAAATACAGCTTCGATGTCATACAAGCAAGCCAAACACCCGTGAATACAAACGTGCACTTCACATTTCCATATAATTTAAACTCATGCCATATACAGTGTCAACGTTTCTGATCACTATGTTTGATGTACAGTTACAAGATGACATGGCATCATACCCTGCGTTGTTCTGAACAGAATGAGCCTATATTTGTCTATTGTGTAGAAAATGCCCAGCGGAACACGCACATTAATGCACTCATGACTCCATTCTATGTGCACCAAAATTACAATCTGTTTCTCTGAATTGCCTTGTGAAAGTCTAACACTGTAGATCGAATTTTATAAACTTAGCTAGTCATGTTGGCAATAAAACATGCTTCCAAATCATACCCACCTGACCCAGACTGCGATTTATTATGGGCTGTTTTTGGATTGCGTAAAACAACAACAGTAATTATGTGATGGCAGGGATGCAGGGTTGTGTTCCAAACAAAACAACTACAAGTGTGCTTGCTCTAGTTCCTCAACTGCACAGCTAGGAGAGTTCGAAGAAGTACCTTATAGTTGAAGGCTCTTCTTTGAGTCATAAAAGTGCATTGAAATGACTTAGGAACTATGCACACTTTTGTGTTATGTTGCACCTACCCCACATTTTCCAGGAATATTCTTATCATGTTACTGAATGTATCCAGAGTATTTTCAGATTTTGTTATCAAGAAATGTGACGAAAAGTACAGTAAATGTAAAATGCACATAAAATCAACAGTGTAATGTTTGGATTCAGTCTTGTGTCAGGTGAACTGTTGTGTCCTCAACTTTGGTCTAATAATTTTCCCATTATCTCCAAACAGTTACCTTTCAATTGCTACCATGGTTATGCATTTCATATTTATTCTGTAAGAAACAATTCAATTTAGCCCTATCCATATAGGCCAATTCCTAGAGTGTAAAGGGTTAACTACTGCTTCACTCACAAACATAAATGATTGCTTTATGTTCAGGTAGACGATCTGGTCATTATTTGTATGGCCTTACCCTTCTCTCCTCTGATCTGTACAACCTCTGGTTTTCCTCCAGCTGCCAAGGCTGCAGCTCAGTGTCCCTGTCGTTCCCTTGTCCCTCTGTTCTCTTCAATTCTCTACCCTTCCTTGGCCTGAATGACAGTTGAGAAATGAGGGAACATGTTATACAGTGTGAGAGCAGTTTGCAAGAGTGTATAAAAGGGTGAGTGCACAGCGTGTGTTCCTGGCGGTAAGAGCCCTACCTCCTCCTTCGTGCAGGGCTGGTGCTGCTCACAGGGCTGACTGAGGGGCTCCGGTTGGACTCTGTGGACACGATCTGGCAGTGCACCGTTCCCAGCAACAACATCAGACACATGGGCCCAAACAGCTCACTAACACTGGCTGCAGGGACCTCCATGTACAACATTGCTGCTGTCACTGCAGAGAAAGCCATTAAGTTAACAGACTGCCCAGAAATGGTAGAAACCTGCTCTTTAGAGAGTTAGTGAATGACAGACCTATTTACTTTAGGTCTATAAATAGTACAGTTGAAGTCGGAAGTTTACATACACTTAGGTTGGAGTCATTAAAACTTGTTTTTCAACCACTCCACACATTTCTTGTTAACAAACTATAGTTTTGGCAAGTCAGTTAGGACATCTACTTTGTGCATGACACAAGTAATTTTTCCAACAATTGTTTACATACAGATTATTTCACTTATAATTCACTGTATCACAATTCCAGTGGGTCAGAAGTTTACATACATTAAGTTGACTGTGCCTTTAAACAGCTTGGAAAATTCCTGAAAATGATGTCATGGCTTTAGAAGCTTCTGATAGGCTAATTGACATCATTTGAGTCAATTGGAGGTGTACCTGTGGATGTATTTCAAGGCCTACCTTCAAACTCAGTGCCTCTTTGCTTGACATCATGGGAAAATCAAAAGAAATTAGCCAAGACCTCAGAAAAAAATATGTAGACCTCCACAAGTCTGGTTCATCCTTGGGAGCAATTTCCAAATGCCTGAAGGTACCACGTTCATCTGTACAAACAATATTACGCAAGTATAAACACCATGGGACCATGCAGCCGTCATACCGCTCAGGAAGGAGACGCGTTCTGTCTCCTAGAGATTAACGTACTTTGGTGCGAAAAGTACAAATAAATCCCAGAACAACAGCAAAGGACCTTGTGAAGATGCTGGAGGAAACAGGTACAAAAGTATCTATATCCACAGTAGAACAACTCCTATATCGACATAACCTGAAAGGCCGCTCAGCAAGGAAGAAGCCACTGCTCCAAAACCGCCATAAAAAAGCCAGACTACGGTTTGCAACTGCACATGGGGACAAAGATCGTACTTTTTGGAGAAATGTCCTCTGGTCTAATGAAACAAAGATAGAACTGTTTGGCCATAATGACCATCATTATGTTTGCAGGAAAAAGGGGGACCTTGCAAGCCGAAGAACACCATCCCAACCGTGAAGCACGGGGGTGGCAGCATCATGCTGTGGGGGTACTTTGCTGCAGGAGGGACTGGTGCACTTCACAAAATAGATGGCATGATGAGGAAGGAAAATTATGTGGCTATATTGAAGCAACATCTCAAGACATCAGTCAGGAAGTTAAAGCTTGGTCGCAAATGGGTCTTCCAAATGGACAATGACCCCAAGCATACTTCCAAAGTTGTGTCAAAATGGCTTAAGGACAACAAAGTCAAGGTATTGGAGTGGCCATCACAAAGCCCTAACCTCAATCCTATAGAACATTTGGGGCAGAACTGAAAAAGCGTGTGCGAGCAAGGAGGCCTACAAACCTGACTCAGTTACAACAGCTCTGTCAGGAGGAATGGGCCAAAATTCACCCAACTTATTGTGGGAAGGCTACCCGAAACGTTTGACCCAAGTTAAACAATTTAAAGGCAATACTAATTAGGCAACCAAATACTAATTGAGTGTATGTCAACTTCTGACCCACTGGGAATGTGATGAAAGAAATAAAAGCTGAAATAAATCATTCTTTCTACTATTATTCTGACATTTCACATTCTTAAAATAAAGTGGTGATCCTAACTGACCTAAGACAGGGAATTGTTCCTAGGATTAAATGTCAGGAATTGTGAAAAACTGAGTTTATTATGTATTTGGCTAAGGTGTATGTAAACTTCCGACTTCAACTGTATATCGTATTACTTCTTAACAGTAGACAACAAGCATGATCTGACCCATGCCTAAAGCAATGTTAAGGTGAGATGTGAGTTTACCTTGCATCAAGTAGAGCACCAGGATACAGGTGGAGATGGACCTAGAGGTCACCTGCATCCACCACTGGAAGAAGAAGGGGAAGAGGATCACCCTGACCAGGCCCTTACGGGTCAACGCTGTCCATGGACGATCTGGCTTGGCCTTGCTGAATGTGGATCCTGGAATAGGAGCGAGCCAATCAATAGCGTTGCATGCACCATATCCATCCAACAAGCAACATTGTGTGAATAAACGTAATAAATGGATACTCACCTCTTACTAAGTCAACATCAATGAGGTCTGGCTTGATGTGGCCAGACCTCTTTGGTTTACTGTCAATACCCTATGGGGGTAACACTTATCTTAGTGACAATGCTGATCATATAAGAAATGTGTACATATTAGGCCAAATGTCATGAACTTACATTAAATTCTGCTTGCTCCAGAGATTTCTCCCAGACCTGCTGATCATATGCACCAATCTGTTGACACATGGACACACTTCAGTTTGTATCATCTCATATAGAGGATTTTAAATTTAATTTTTTTTTGTCATTTAGCATACGCTCTTATCCAGAGCGACTTACAGGAGCAATTAGGGTTAAGTGCCTTGCTCAAGGGCACATCAACAGATTTTTCACCTAGTCGGCTCGGGGATTAGAACCAGCGACCTTTCGGTTACTAGCACAACGCTCTTAACCACTAAGCTACCTGCCGCCCTCATTACATTGTCAGTAAGTCTAGCATGTCTTAGGGGCCATTTACATTAGTAAAATATGTCTAGTGAGATCTATCTCTCTTCAACTTTTCTATTTACACTAGCCTTGGATGTGGTGTGGCCAAAGCCACATTCCTGCTTCATGCGAGTGCAGCGATTAGCATACCGTAAATACCAGTGTATTTAGACACACAAAATTAGGCTAGCAATTGAAACTATACAGGAGCTTCTCATCTAAACCTTATTGCACATAGTGTTTTACGCTTGAATAATGCAATGATTCACAAAAACCTTTAATTTTCAATTTGTCTAACAGAGCAAGAATGCTGTCTACTTCCATTAAGGTCATTACGGTAATTCTTGCAGGGACATGTGGTGTGGGGAACTCTCAACCCCAATTTCTGCCTTTGCCCGACCCCTTCAAATTTTCAAAAAAGTTAATTCAGGTGAGATGTTGTGGGTGGGGGGAATATCTCATAAATATTCATTTTGAGGGTGGGTAAACCTAGTTGTACCTGATCCCAACACGTTCTCATTAAAGCATACTTACCAGAAGTCCACTGGCACGCTCTGATAATAAAATGATGTGCATCGCGAGCAAATACGGCTCTGCACAGTTAGCTCACAGTGGTAAGGCGCCGTGTTCCTGACATCTACTGCCACTTGCGGTGTAAGTTCGAATTCCCCATTGAGCACCAAAAACAATTGTTGAAATGACATTTATTGCGGTATCTTGTTGGGAAGAAAAGTGCAATCTTAAAAATGAAAATTAGGGGCTCAAATCAATCCAACTGCATAAGATATCTGCCCCATGTGAGATTAGAGCTCAACCATTGAGGGCCTCCCGAGTGGCGTCACTACAGACCCGGGTTCGATCCCAGGCTGTGTCACAGCCGGCTGTGACTGGGAGACCCATGAGGCAGCGCACAATTGGCCCAGCGTCGTCCGGTTTAGGGGAGGGTTTGGCCGGCCGAGATTTTCTTGTCCCATCGCACTCTAGCGACTCCTTGTGGCGGGCTAGGTGCCTGCAAGCCTTCTTCGGTCGTCAGCTGGACGGTGTTTCCTCTGACACATTGGTGCGGCTGGCTTCCAGATTAAGCGAGCAGTGTGTCAAGAAGCAGTGCAGCTTGGCAAGGTCGTGTTTCAGAGGACGCATGGCTCTCGACCTTCGCCTCTCCCGAGTCCGTAGGGGAGTTGAAGCGATGGAACAAGACTGTAACTACCAATTGGATATCATGAAATTGGGGAGAAAAAGAGGTAAAAGTATAAAAAAAACTCAACCATTGAACTATGAGCCCACTGTCTTAGTGGACTGCACTCCCATTTATTCATAGCGGTTGGGAAAAAATACAATGAGTTGACATGACCACCATTGTCATCTATTTCTTGTTACGATGGATGTAGCAACAAATATAAACGTATAATCCTCATAGCTGACGTATTTTTTCTTCGTAAAAGCACATAGATGTGTGTGAAATGGTCAGCAAACATTTTGAATTTGGTCATATGCGGAAATGTGCCTTACTGCCTTTTGAATTTTGTGTAACGTCAATAGTCTAGTCAAGGAAGTATCATGCAAAATATATTGCCGCCAAATAAGGCACACTGTCACCTGCTTTTACAGTAAGCCTTGAGGTGGTACCACCCAGCACATCTAGAAGGGAGTGTATTTCATACCGAACCCCTCCCTTGAGATGACGTAGAGGCACCTTCTTAACAATTTCAATGGTAGAGCTGAACCACTTTAGGGGCAAAAAGAGCTAGATTTACTACTAATTTACTACTAAAAGACCAAAATATATCACTTTTGCAATGAACTGTCAAAATGAATACCAGAATTGGCGTGTTTCACTATAACTAAGCTTAAAACATCTGGTTTTTCGATGGTTGTATTTATTAATTTTTTTTCATGAATGTTACTATAGCACTACCACTCAGAAGGGGGTATGTGCAGGCCCCCAGCGTCCGGTCTGGAGCGTGAACTCACTAGCTCTGCTTGTCGGCTACTTCGTAGCAACCTAGCGGTGCCAAAAGCCCTGGCCTGTCCTAGAAAGTAAATTACGATCGCCAGAATAGCCAAACATTTTTATTTTTACAACTGCCGTTTTGGGCTCTAAAATCCCCACAGTGAATTATTTAAAAGTTCACTACAAATCAAGATATTTAATTAAATAATGATCCATTCTGACTACTACATTTGTCATCACACAGGACCACGTGCTGACACAGATCAATAATGGGCCAGCAGGCTACGAGGAGGCTCGCGTCCTCATGCCATACACATTAATTAAGGTTGACTCTCTGGCAGGATGAAAACGACTACATCGACCATTATCCTTTGCTAGTTACGGCCACTTTCACCATGATCCTTAGCGATTTTTTGGTGCCATTCAGCAAGAAGACAGAAGGGGTAAACCAGACACGTCACAGGGGCTATAAAGCTGAAGCATCCGTTTAGAACGTTTTCTCACCACCAAATATGGTAGTGAGAGGAAGTCCAGTCGTGGGTAGTGGAAGAGGATGGAACTAGGTGAAACTGGGCTGACATTCTGCACATTTTCTCATCGATGAAACATCTGGTTTTTGCCCACCTCCTTGCGTTTTCTGCCCACTATGCTTCATTTGCGCCCACTGTAAACGACACAGATTGACTATCTTGGGTTAGTTATAAATGTCTTTGTCAATATGGCACGCTTCAAATTGAAATATTTCAGGCTTCATGCGCCATCTGGAGTTTTCCATAGGAATACGTGGATGACATCAGCGCTATCAATATTGGTGCATTCAAGACAACTGGTAACTCTGGAAAATACGAGGTCAAATCATGACGTCAGTGAGCTTCAGGTCGGAAAATCGGAGCCCAAGTTCCCGAGTTGGAATTCCGAGTTGGATGACTGTTCAAAACGATTTTTCCTCAGTCTGAGCTAGTTTTTTTCTGACTTTCCAGTTGTCTTGAACGGACTGAAGTCAGAAGTCAGAGATTTCCATGTTACCAGTTCCCAGTTGTTTTGAACTGGCATATCATCTCCTGGTTTTACCTACCTCCGGATGTAGTGTGGGAGACATCTCTTAAAAATATATTTTACTCTAGATCCCTCTCTTTACACTACACAAGTATCTCTCCTGGACCTAGTTTGTGTTGTCAAAGTAGTGTAGTGTAAAGAGGCCCTTACCTTCTCTTGATACCATGCTATTCTTGCCATTGTCTTATGACTGTGGTGAAGATTGTGTCAGGTCATTTCACAGGGGACACAGGGGCAGATAAGATCTGACTGCAACTCAGGCTTGTCACAACAAAACAAAGGAAAGAACATTAGAGATAAAGCAAAAACAAAGCCATTGTGGAGTACAAAGGGCAATCACATATAACATGTTCACTCAATACCAGAAATCATCACTGCTAACTGTAGCTTAACGTTACTATTTTTAATTGTGCTGCATGTATTACATTTGTTATGCTCAATACAAAACTAACGTTAGCTGTATAGGCTACAGAAAGTCAACTGACTAAAACTTACCCCAAAGCATAATGTGGTTGAAGATAGGTGGCACAATTGCCCAACTGTATTTGGGTGAAACTCTCTACTATAGATCATTCCAAAAACATTAAAAGATCAGTCAGTAGAACCATCATCCAGGAGCAGTAGCATCAAGTGTGATGGCGCAGTCGGATTGCAAGCTAACTCTACCTCGCCATCATCATTCAGTCAACCTCAGCTAGGCTATACCTTTCAACTCGTACAAAATATTTGAACTTCTAAATTTGCCACCATTCAAAATAGGTAAACAGATTCGCGGCACATTTAGCTAATCTAAAAACCAGTACAGTAGTTCAATATTAGCAATAGAAGCTAGCTAGCTAGCTACCATTAGCAAAGTTAGCTCGCCAGCTCTTCTTCAGACCAGGAGTGTCGCGCGACTCGAAGAGGTAAACTAGCCAACTAGCAGCATCTCGACTGCGGGAATTGCAATGACTTATGAGCAATCTATATTTTATTACAGTTATTTAAACGATTTTCCAAATGCTAACTTCGTTATCAGATGTATTTCAAGGCGATTTCCCAGGAATGCACACCGACACGACTCTTGCGCTAGTGACCTTTTTCCGGGTTAATTCGATTAATTTTAGCCTGCTTGTTTGTTGACAATTTTCAGAACTGTCAAATCTGTGCAGCCAGCGGCTGCGCGTGTGGTCTGTGGAAAATCCACATTATATAATAAACAACCTGTGACAGCTAGACTAGAGTGTAGTCCTTACCACTCTAGACTTCTAGAATAAACATCAATGCATACAATAGAGTAAAATAAATATTTACATAATATAATATATATATGTATATATATATTTACATTATGTTGATTTCCATAGCATTACTTATAGCTATTTTTATTTTTTATTTGTGTTGTTTTTTGTCTACATTATTGTATTGTACTGTATTTGCCTTCTATCCTCACAGTTCCTGCTTGTCCAATAGAATGATACATTTCTTACTTGTTTCAAACCTCATGTCACGCATTAGTTCAATCTACAATCCTGAAAACTGCAATGATTTACACAAATAAATAGAAGGCCTATAACAAGTAGGCTACATGGGCATAATTACACAAAATAATCACAAGAAGACCATCCATGAGGTATAATAGCCCCAGAATAAAATACAGTTTATCCAGAGCTTGGGTTACGTTAGATCTTGTCACTGAAGTCCTGGGTGTCGACTGATGGCTGTTCTTGGTCGGCTGCAGCACACACCAACTTGCTCTTGACCTTCTTATTGGAGCTGATGATGAAGAAGGGACTGAGAGAGGCATAACAGGAGGAGAAGAAGACTCTTTTGTCAGCCACCATTGGAGACATCTTAGCTACCGTCGGCATGTAAATCCAGATGACATTGTCTATGCCAAAGAATACAACATACAGGGGGAAGGCAGGCATGGTGCCATTGTGCGGGCAATAGAGAAAAATGTAGCTGTGATGCATACATCCATGTTGAGGAGCCACAGCCGTGTGAAGGTGGGCACGATGAGGCTGGGAAGACTTGCCTTAAGCCTGGACAAATGGGGTCCACCTGCAGGGGCGATGGTCACTGCCTGGAACACACTGAGCATACAAGTGATGCATGCTGACAGTGCCCGGGTGATGCAGTAGGGGTAGATGACCACCTTGCAGCCCGGGTCATTCAGCAGGTCACACAGGCCAAACACAGTCATGGTCTGGGGAGCAGCATCAGGTCAACGAAGGCTAGGTGGCAGAGAATCATGTCCAAAGGCTGGAGTCAGTGCTCAGAGCAGACAATCTGGATGTAAGCCAGCAGCACCAGAGTGTTCCCCAAGATCCCTAACCCTGTCTGCAGCAGGAAGGACACCCCTTTGATGGTGACACACAGATCCAACATGATACCTAACTTGGGTACCTTGCTGAAGAATAGAGACAGAAAATGAAGTTTCTTAAACAGAGCTATGCATACACCAACTGTGAACAAATGGTCCCTATTACACTCTCTAAATTATTGGACAATGATTGCAGAAAGCATATCCTTACCTACAACTATTGATAAATAAACATGAACACAGTATTGGTCATTCAGTGTGGTTAATTACATTTACATTTACATTTACATCATTTAGCAGACGCTCTTATCCAGAGCGACTTACAAATTGGTGCATTCAACTTATGATAGCCAGTGGGACAACCACTTTTTTTTTAATTTTATTTTTATGGGGGGTGGGGGAAGAAGGATCACTTTAAACTATTCCAGGTATTCCTTAAAGAGGTAGGGTTTCAAGTGTCTCCGGAAGATGATCAGTGACTCCGCTGTCCTGGCGTCGTGGGGGAGCTTGTTCCACCATTGGGGTGCCAGAGCAGCGAATAGCTTTGACTGGGCTGAGCGGGAACTGTGCTTCTGTAGAGGTAGGGGAGCTAGCAGGCCAGAGGTGGATGAACGTAGTGCCCTCGTTTGGGTGTAGGGTCTGATCAGAGCCTGAAGGTAAGGAGGTGCTGTTCCCCTCACAGCTCCGTAGGCAAGCACCATGGTCTTGTAGTAGATGCGAGCCTCAACTGGAAGCCAGTGGAGTGTGCGGAGGAGCGGGGTGACATGAGAGAACTTGGGAAGGTTGAACACCAGACGGGCTGCAGCGTTCTGGATAAGTTGAAGGGGTTTAATGGCACAGGCAGGGAGCCCAGCCAACAGCGAGTTGCAGTAATTACCCCTGCAATTTCAATACTCTGTGGGGATTATTAGGGGACAACATTAGAACACTCACCCCACCCCTCCTAAAACTCAATATGTAACCAATAGTAACTACTAGAGCTTTTTCTTTTCAGATGACAGCATTAATGTCAATAATGGCCATATTCTATAGAAACCTCAATAAAAAAATAAAAAAATAAAGGTATAACTCAAGAAACAGTCATGTTTTAGGATGGCCCTGTCAATGGGGTAATATCTGTTATTAGAGCACCCATACCCCAGCAGAGGTTTTTGTTATTGTTGATGTAAAAGCAGCTTGATTAAGCTATTTGGAAGTAATTTAACCTCTACGGGATTGGTGTCCCGTATACGGGACGGTTGAGCTAACGTGCGCTAATGTGATTAGCATGACTGTTGTAAGTAACAGCTAACTTTCCAGGACATAGACATGTCTTATATGGGCAGGAAGCTTAAATTATTGTTAATCTAACTGCACTGTCCAATTTACAGTAGCTATTACAGTGAAAAAATACCATGCTATTGTTTGAGGAGAGTGCACAACAACAAAAAACTTATCACGGCAACTGGTTTGATACATTCACCTCTGAAGGTAAATAATGTACTTACATTCAGTAATCTTGCTCTGATTTGTCATCCTGAGGGTCCCAGAGATAAAATGTAACATAGTTTTGTTTGATAAAATCCATTTTTATATTCAAATGTAGGAATTGGGTTCTACAGTTTGAACCGTTGCTGTCTCTGGCTCCACACCCACCTAGATCTGTGAAAGTTAGTGTACAAGCTAATGATCCATCATGTATGACATTCCTGGAAGTGTGTAAACTTACATTTTGTATTACCATATAATTTTTGTATGTTCTCTATAGTTATGTACATTCAATTGACCAATTTGGGCAGACTTGATACAAAATAGTCCAGTATTGCAATGCTTCACTGGATCAATCTGAAACTTTGCATGCACTGCTACCATTTAGTGGCCAAAATCTAAATTGCGCCTAAACTCCTATATGATATTGTGGCCTTTCTCTTACATTTCAAAGATGATGGAACAAAAAAATAGAAAATATATGTTTTTTTGTTTGTATTATCTTTTACCAGATCTAATGTGTTATATTCTCCTACATTAATTTATATTTCCACAAACTTCAAAGTGTTTCCTTTCAAATGGTATCAAGAATATGCAAATCCTTGCTTCAGGTCCTGAGTTACAGGCAGTTAGATTTGGGTATGTCATTTTAGTCAAAAATTGAAAAAAAGGGTCAGATCCTTAAGAGGTTCATGCACAGCTGGCCCCTTTCACTGCTCACTTCTGTTATCTCCTGTCCTGGGAGTATGTCGCCCAGGGACACAGCAGCACAGGTAATTATCTAGCAATAACGGATGTTTAGTCTAATTCAGAGCAATGGGAAAGTAGCCTTCTATTTTGATTCCCACTCTTAACACTGCTTTATTCACCTACAAGAACAATCATCCTGTTTCACCAAACCTCTGCTGCACAGTGGGGATTAACAATCCAGACAGTGTACATTTCTAATCCAGTGTTGCTCCATTCTCAAAATATGAATGAAAGATGGTAATGTTGTGGTTTAGCTGTGCTTGAGGCATAACAGTGTATTTTAGACAGCACCCTTAACTATAAGTCAAACTTGGAGTAAAGTCAACCCATGCTGAAGGATCCTCGATAAAGGCTAAGGTGACATTTGAATTTCACTTGCTACTCATTTTCAAACCACTTTGAGATCAATAATCTGAGGTGGTGTTATTTCCCCATGTGAGTATCAATATGTTGACATGAGTAGAGTACTAATTAGAATGCAAGCTCATGCATGTTCTTTTCTAGGGATTCTATCATGTATTCTACATAGTAAGCAGAGGGTTTTTAATATGTTTCCTCCAAAGACCAGACCCGTTTTCTACCCCTTCGAATTACTTTATTGATTTATTTTTCATTGCAATGCCTCAAACAGGTTGTCAAAAACTACAGACGACTGTTGAATATCTAAATAAGTATACTCTCCCAGGAGTGAGACTTACAGGCATAAATAGATATTGTAGTGGAATTCCAGTGTGTTTTTATGGACGAAGGTCTTTGCTTCAGCACTTCTATCTCTGACAGAGGACAGTGAAGTGTGTTTCACATCAATGACATCAAACAAGCTCAAGTCTATCTGACTTGTTATGCATCTCATTGCAAACATCAATCACAAAGTAAAACAGAAACACATTGCTCATATTTTTCAGTTTGGGGTAACTATTTTACTCCAGGTCAGACCTTTTTGAATGGCAAAAATTACACATTTATCTTGTCACATCGTTCTCCATAGGGGGGCACTGTAGTCTTATTGTTAGTCCTTACCTGGACCATAGCAGAAAGCAATTCAAAGGAACCATCGAAATAGAGCAGTAGGCCTAGTCTATGAGTATTGAAAGTGACAGGTTTGGCTGGGAATACATTGAGCATTAGACATAGGGTTTTGTACCCATTCAAATGCTTTCTTTGCATAATAACTGGACATATAGATACTTATTGAGACCTCAATTTCCTTTTATTTGTTGTCATTCTGTCCTCAGTCCTGATGAAATGTTTTGGTGCCATATAGCCACAGCTGGAACAGATGCAGTAATCTGTATTGATCTCAGGTAATTGGAGGGAGATGGAAGAGGAGCATAAAGTCAGTGGACCATGCTAATCACCACCTACAGTTACTGAATCTCTCTGAGAGTATAAGAACACGAGGAAACTCACTAGCCATGGGGACTGTGGTCTGGTTTACAAACAGACTAGTGATCAGACTCCAACATCATAAAGCATACCTCTCAGGTAAGAGAACTGATGCATGCAATGGCCTTCTGAGATGATTGAATATATTAACAAATACTGATTTGACATGTATTTTCATATCCTTTATCTCCTCAACCATGGAATGAGAGGAGGTGGTCTGGGGAATGCTGTACCTGTCCCTCACTGTGGTTGATGTCCCAGGAAACACTTCTGTCATCATGGCATTCCTCCTGGCACTGTACCAGGAGCACCAGCTCCTTCCTGCTGATGCCATCGTGCTGCACCTAGCCTGTGCCAACCTGCTTGTGGTGGGCGTGCGCTGCCTGCTAGAGACCCTGGATACCTTCCCGCAGCCATAGCCTTGTCCCTGGGCTCCCGGAACAACTCGGGCCTCATGCAGCACAGCATTCATTTGTTTGCTTCCCTTCTACGCAGTCCATGCAGGTGAACGGGGCTGTCCAGGTGGGGAGGGACGTGGTGCCTATGGCCCTGATGGCAAGTCTGGTTATCCTTGTGTTTCTGTACCGCCACAGCCAGCAGGTGAAGGGACTCCGCAGCAGCTCTGGGGCCAGTGGTGGGGCAGAGCGGTGGGTGGCTATGGCTGTAGTGATCCTGTACATGCTCCTCTATTGGGTGGATAATGGACTGTGCACATATTATTGTCATCGCTGTATGAAGCACTCAGCCCCTTGCTGATCATAGCCACCAACAGGAAGATGAACAGCAGGCTGAGGTGTGTGGTGCAGGAGAGGCCCGTTCAGGACAGTGCCACTACACCATCTACTGTGTGAGTTAGGGACATTATTGTGGTCAGATATGGTTACAAAGATGAGGAATGTTGATTATTAATGAATTATGTTGCTATTAGAATATGGATTATAAAACATACAGAGCTAACATTGTACAATGTGAAATGCATGGCAAAGGTATCTTGAACTCATGTATTTTTTTCCCATTTAATATTCTTCAGCATATAACATTATTGTTTGAGCTGTTTTGATAATTATGTGGCAAAGTTGGTGGCAAGCTTGGATTTACAGAACTGGACGGTCATGAAACCAATATATTGCTAGAAATTAACATGTCTAGAAAATAAAAAAGAAGCATCAAGCAGAGTTTGAGCCTTTTTTGTCACACAGTCCTATTAGTGAAATTGCCATGATATTAATCATTCCAGATTTATCTTGTTATCGTTTTGTTTGTTCATTCATTATACT